TAACCAGCCGCCGACCAGATTGCAGCTATCTTTATGCTTCGGACGTATACCCCGCTTCGTGGAAACCCAAAGCGGATTTTCCCTCTTTATTGCAGAAACACGTCTGTCCGTCACTTACTTGACCTTCCGATCAAGTAAGTGATATTCTTGACAATTACTCCAACCCGTCCGTGGATTGTTTTACTTCAGCATTGGACGACTCTGTCCTCAATCAGATCTCTCCAGCTAAGTCTCGGAAGGATACACAAGTGAGAGACAAAGAGTGTATAGGGCATGCTAAATAAAACAGGCTCCCTTTTTTGTCTTCATGATGTTTTGTCATCTCACAAGGATGTCCCCCTAGAGATTATCATAAAACATGTTTAGCAGTCACTGCCTGTTAGGTTAACGAAATTGTCAATTTTCGACCCTGAGAAAAAAGGAAGTTCTTATTCTTAACAAGGATAGAATTGACCTTGCTGTCCAATCGCTCCCCAATGCCAAACGAGTGCTTTTCGGGGAGGACTTTCCATCGATTGCCTCAAAGCAAGATGATCTATCGAGAAGCTTTGCTAAGAACCTGGGTTGAGCTTCACGGCCATCGAAGCGCCGAGCCCGAGCCAATGCGTACCCCCAAAGGGAAAAGACCTTTTACCAGTGCCTAACGTAAATACCAAAGTACTCGTACAAAAAACAGGCGTCCCTTTCGGGCCTCCAAACCCGAGGCAAAAGAATCGACGCACTCATAGTCAAGTGGAGGGAAATAACCTTCAACCCTGCAATTCTCAACATTGAGTTAGGTTACAACATTCCGTTACTTTGCGAACTAGTTCAGTTTTGTCCACCGGTTACAAACCCCTTCCAAGAGAACGCCCACGTCATATATGTAGAGGTGGAGAGTCTCCTTGCCAAAGACGCCATAGTCCATGTCTCCCCCATGAAAGAGGGCTTTCTCAGTCTTCTATTCGTGATTCAAAAAAGTATGGAACCTTTTGCCCCGTAATAGACCTGAGTTTTCTGAACAAGTTCGTGGAAACGCATATTTTGAATGGAGAATATCTCTTCCCTCAAGTCCTTGTTTCAAAGAGGGAACCTCATGACCACTTTGGATTGAAAGGACGCATACCTGTCGGTTCCTGTCCACAGGGAGTCCCAAAAGTTTCTACAATTCCTCTGGAGAAACAAATGCTATGCCTTTCAAGGCCTCTGGTCAACTTGTCTCGTAGAGTTAACACTGGAACTCCGGAACTGGTGCCTGGAGCGGAACATATTGGTAACAGCTCAGCATGTACCAGGCAAATTGAACACAGTGGCAGACTCTTAAGGCCACTATGAGATCTTGAAAACTCTCGAAATCGCTCTCTTCCGTAATGTTTTTCGGAAAAGGCAGCAGTGTTTTGATCCCTGGGTTTGATTCACTTCTCTTACGAGATGCGAACTCGACCGTGTCACGATTGAAATGAGACACAGTAACAGTTTTACCCATGAACCTTTGTGGGCCGTGACGCACACCGCCTGAGGGCTCTCATAGTGAGCTTGGGCTACCTGTGCCTGTATGAGACGAAAATGGATGTGATTTTGACCATTAGCTTCAAAATAACAGCGGAAATGGAGATAACAGAACATATGTTTTGCGTCTTACTTCGCAGGCGAGGTGTACCGGTTTTTTGTAAAGAACAATTGTTCTTTCATTCATTCATTGCCATGGAATGCGTTTACATTGTTTTTTTCTCTGTTAATGCGGCTCAATTATCTTTCAACTGCGTTTGCCGGCGGAAGTTCCATGGAAAAGGCATTAAATCAAAGACTTTTCGGTGTAGTGGTAAGGTATAGTCGCGTCAAGCCGAAGTTGCCGGGTTCGAGTCCCATACAGTATCTTTTTTTTCCTTCTTTCTTTCTTTTTTTCCGTTTTTTTGTTATTGTTTACTTATTTGGTTTGTGGTTTTTCTAAAAAAATATACCTTAATAACTGTTATTTAATAAAGTGCAATAAACAGCAAGAAGAGTATCGTGTTTCCCGAGAAAAGATAGTATATCTTAAATATATGGATAAACAATCTGAATTTCTATCGTTTCCCACAATTCACTGTGGGAAAACCAGAGTTGATGACCAATTGATTATTTTCTAAACAACGTTCCCACGAGTTGACGATAGTCTTTCTTTGGTTTTGTTTTAACCGTTGTAATGTAATATAACCCGTTTAAGATAACACTTAATGCATTTATTGCAACCAGGTTGATAAGGATGTTTTTTTTTTTCCGTGTGTACAAATCGTCGGTTTGTCGATTTGTCCAAATAAATCAAATAAATGACATAAGTATTCCTTAACGTGGCTCATGCCCCGCTATAACATGTCGAGATCTATTTTCCACAGCTAGGATTCTTTGGCTTATAAGCCTTTCACTTACCGAAATCCCATCTTCAAGCCGCGATTATTTTACACAAACACCGTTCGAAGTATATGAGAAAACGTCAGGTAGAATCCCACTTATTGTGCTACGATCCACATCTTTGACGCTATACAAGAAAAGAAAATACCCTCAGGGTGAGAAAAAAGAGACCACATGGGACTTAATCCCACAACCCTCTGCGGTGTTATATCGTGCTGTTGTCATGTGATCCTCCATCTTTCCTTCTGCGCTGTGTGTTCCTTACCATTTTGTACGCTTGTCTAGGTACTTTACGACCCGTTTCGGCTCTTTTTAGTCCCCTTTTTTGGTGGGGTAAGAAGTTACTTTTCTTTAGGATCCTCGCAAGTCAAAGCGACATAGATCACGCTCCAGGTCTCGTTCGAGATCCAAGCACGGCCGCCATGTTACGGAGTCTTTGCACTCCCTGAGCCCTCCTAAACGCGAAGAATAGGTTTTCCTGTCAGCTATCTTGAAAACCCTTCAAGAGGTCCAGCAGTTCTTAACGTCTACAAACGAGCGAGTCTCGTCCATGGAAAATTATTAGCAAACAAGCCGTCAAGTCTTCCCGCCAAATCTTGGCGAGTGACCGGACGCGATTTCTGCCCTGGCCTACTTATGAAGAACTTGTGACCGAGCAAGAGGGCTCAATTACGTCTCATTAAGCCACCATTTTGGGCTAATGATCCACCATCTCTGGCTAATGAGCCACTAATCGGGGTTCCAGAACCCCAACGCGAGGTCAGTATACCTTCCAGCGAAAATGTGATTCAACCAAACGTGACAAACGGCCCACCAAATGGCGGCGACCTTTATGATCCGGACGTTTAACACCCTTCGTGGAAACCCAAAGCGGATTTTTCCTCTTTTTTGCAGAAAAACGTCTGTCTGTCACTTACTTGATCTTCCGATCAAGTAAGTGATATTCTTGACAATTATTCCATCCCTCAAAGCAAGATGATCTATCGAGAAGCTTTGCTAAGAACCTGGGTTGAGCTTCACGGCCATCGAAGCGCCGAGCCCGAGCCAGTGCGTACCCCCAAAGGGAAAAGACCTTTTACCAGTGCCTAACGTAAATACTAAAGTACCCGTACAAAAAACAGGCGTCCCTTTCGGGCCTCCAAACCCGAGGCAAAAGAATCGACGCACTCATAGTCAAGTGGAAGGAAATAACCTTCAACCCTGCAATTCTCAACATTGAGTTAGGTTACAACATTCCGTTACTTTGCGAACTAGTTCAGTTTTGTCCACCGGTTACAAACCCCTCCCAAGAGAACGCCCACGTCATATATGCAGAGGTGGAGAGTCTCCTTACCAAAGACGCCATAGTCCATGTCTCCCCCATGAAAGAGGGCTTTCTCAGTCTTCTATTCGTGATTCAAAAAAGTATGGAACCTTTTGGCCCGTAATAGACCTGAGTTTTCTGAACAAGTTCGTGGAAACTCATATTTTGAATGGAGAATATCTCTTCCCTCAAGTCCTTGTTTCAAAGAGGGGACCTCATGACCATTTTGGATTGAAAGGACGCATACCTGTCGGTTCCTGTCTACAATTCCTCTGGAGAAACAAATGTTATGCCTTTCAAGGCCTCTGGTCAACTTGTCTCGTAGAGTTAACACTGGAACTCCGGAACTGGTGCCTGGAGCGGAACATATTGGTAACAGCTCAGCATGTACCAGGCAAATTGAACACAGTGGCAGACTCNAAGTACTCGTACAAAAAACAGGCGTCCCTTTCGGGCCTCCAAACCCGAGGCAAAAGAATCGACGCACTCATAGTCAAGTGGAGGGAAATAACCTTCAACCCTGCAATTCTCAACATTGAGTTAGGTTACAACATTCCGTTACTTTGCGAACTAGTTCAGTTTTGTCCACCGGTTACAAACCCCTTCCAAGAGAACGCCCACGTCATATATGTAGAGGTGGAGAGTCTCCTTGCCAAAGACGCCATAGTCCATGTCTCCCCCATGAAAGAGGGCTTTCTCAGTCTTCTATTCGTGATTCAAAAAAGTATGGAACCTTTTGCCCCGTAATAGACCTGAGTTTTCTGAACAAGTTCGTGGAAACGCATATTTTGAATGGAGAATATCTCTTCCCTCAAGTCCTTGTTTCAAAGAGGGAACCTCATGACCACTTTGGATTGAAAGGACGCATACCTGTCGGTTCCTGTCCACAGGGAGTCCCAAAAGTTTCTACAATTCCTCTGGAGAAACAAATGCTATGCCTTTCAAGGCCTCTGGTCAACTTGTCTCGTAGAGTTAACACTGGAACTCCGGAACTGGTGCCTGGAGCGGAACATATTGGTAACAGCTCAGCATGTACCAGGCAAATTGAACACAGTGGCAGACTCTGAATCGAGGGTGTTCAACGACAGCAGAGAGTGGAAAATTGACCTGTTTGCTTCTTAACCTCCCGGCTCCCCAAATACGTGAGCTGGCGCCTGGACCCAGAGGTATTACTCGCGGACGCCCTGACAATAAACTGGACAACCTTCATGGGTTACGCCTTTTCACCCTTCCACTTTATCCTGGCTGTACCGAGCAAAGTGTCTTGCGACTAGGCAGACATCATATTTGTTGCGCCTCTCTGGAAAGCACAGCCTTGGTGCCACCTCTCCTGGGTCTTCTGGTCGATCATCCAGTCCTTCTTCCCAGCACGAGACACCTTCTAACAGACCCCGGGAGCCCCCAAAATATACATCCAATGTTTCACCTATTACACTTAGCCGTGTTTCACATTTCCGGGGACAGTACCAGGCAATGGGACTTTCTAACGACGTTATTGTCACTGTAGCGAGACTTTAATGTTATTAAAGTATTTGCAGTCATATGTGACCATTTGCTTTTGTATGGGGTGTTTTCACTCACGTGGCCAGCATATATGCAAGTTTATTGGAACAAAAGAAAGCATTTGCATAAAAAAAGAGTTCAACTCCCAGATGACTGTTTTGGGACGCCAACATGGCCGAAGTTTCATTGTTTCGGGACACCAATATGGCCGCCGTGACGTCATATGAAAACAATGTATTGGCACCAGCTTTGTGCGTTGAACTGTATCTGGTGTTTTCTCGTATATTTCGAACGGAGTTTGTGTAAAAGTGGGTCATAGCACAATAAGTAGGATTCCACTTCGCGTTTTCTCATATATTTCGAACGGAGTTTGTTAAAATAATTTCGATTATAAAAGCAGGGCGCTTCGCGGCCTTGGTATAATTGAGATTATGCAATAGTTCTCTCGGACTTTTTTTTGGTTTTCGCACGTCAGATCCTGTCCTCCTTACTCGTACTTGGCTTATTTCCTTAAAAAAATATTTTTATATTGTTCATGTGTCCTAGTTTTAAAGAAAAAAAAGAAGTTAAACCACAGTACGTAAAAGTTATAGGTTTATAACTTTATAACAATAAGTATTGATTTAATTGATAGGTGGCCCAGCTGACAGGATTCTCTGACCCAGTCTATGCCGAGGCTTATGTGAATGTAAACCAGTATGACATTGTGCTAGACTTGCTAGTTGTGAACCAGACTTCCGACACCCTTCAGAATGTCACTTTGGAGCTGGCTACACTTGGTAATACGATCGCAGGCATATCCCGGTATCTTCCCACCCCCGCCATGCTGTCTAGTCTGTTACTAGACGTGTCTTTACTATAACTTCTCGTCTTTACACTTATAGTTTTTTCACCTTCGCGTAACACCGTCTCTTTGCTTCCCAGTTTATTTTCCCCCACATAAGGGAAGTCTACGAAAGCAAGTTTGTTGATCTTAACGCCTGTGGCCAATTCAATACTGGAACTACACAAATGCAATTTACAACTATAGTAAATGTTTTGTAAACTCTAAAACGCTTCTAAATAAAACTAGAAAAGTTTAATTATTGATTTGACCATGGGAGCAACCAAAAACAACCAATGAACATCCAGTCGTGTAAGTTAAATTTCGTATGTACAGGTGGCTCCTTGAAGGGCCATCGGTCGACCAAAAAGGTTAATCAATTTGGGTTCGGTGCAAGTCTAAGATAATTCTAATATTTGTTTGTTGTAGGAGACTTGAAGCTAGTGGAAAAGCCACAGCCTATCATGCTTGGACCAAACGACTTCTCTAACATCAAAGTAAGTATCTACATTTGAAGCGTGACTCTGTGATTCTGTCACGGTAGAAGGCAGTGCGACAATTGTAAGCGAAGGTAGCTGCATATGAGTCTGGCATACATTTTTAGAAAGAGTCCCTAAAAGGTGGAGGGAATATTTTACTTTTGTTTTTTACGTTATTTTTAGGCAAATGTGAAAGTGTCTTCCACAGAAAATGGAATCATTTTCGGCAACATAGGTAAGTAATTTCTATCTCAACACACGGATGAGGCAGAGGCAACCGGCGTCAGTCAACCTTATGTAATCTTTAAAGCTAACGTTTCGTCAGTGCCCTTTCTATCAAATTGTTTAATTTCGAATGTCCGTTGCCTTTTTAATTGTAAAAGAGCACGTTCTACATGACAGCCGATGCCAGTTCTTGTCTTCGCAGGGTTTTTCCCCCCCCCCCCCCCCCCCCCAAAAAAGAAACAATCCCGAATAGCATCTTTGAATTATGCGCGGTTAGTATACCTGATCAACTCTTTCTCCTGTAAACTGCTATCAGTCTCTTGTCAGCTGATTAAGAGGGCAAGCTGTCACGGCGAGTCTCCAGAAAGCGCGAGAACGAACGGTGAAGGAAAGTGTCTCCTCGTGTGCCTTTGCTTGCTCGTAACATGCTCGTCTCAGTGCGCCATAATCTCAAGGGACTGCAGAAATCTAAATAAATGATCATGAAGTTTCTTCATGGAATCAATGAGTGATGCTTACGTCACAATATGAGGGGGGTCGAAATACTGCAATGAAATCTAAAATTTTTTTGTCAAGCAATTTTTAAAATGTGTCGCTTCAAAAGCACGATTAGTCAGTCACCCAAATAGGCGATCTTGAGGGTGATTTTTCTAACACAAATCCCTCTGGGTGACTCATTCCACATCCAAGCTTTGCTTTCAGAAAGCAACCCTTTTGCTGCTCCTTTTGCAGTAAGAGACGTAACTTCCTTGTACTGCGTGACTCCTGTGTAATTTATCCAATCAGACGTCAGTATTCACGCAACTTGCAACAACCTGATTTGTTGCAAGAGAGGTTTGAACCTGGGTAGTAAACTACGCAAGATTGCTTTTCAACTCGTTTTACAGCAGTGTTGCAAAACAAGTTGCACTGCACTTTTTTGTTGTCGTTTTAAATCTGAGTGTGATGAACCCTCACTGGAGTTTCATGTGCCCTTTGTCGTAATAAAGCTCCAACATTGCAAATAACTATGTAGGTTAACAAACTGGGAATCCCTAAAAAACGCGGGTAACGCTAAAGCTAGAGTCAATTGGCGCAAGCTTTTTCAAATTACCCACATTAATTACATCTCGTCATTCTGAATGTATTTGTCTTTTTTGTCAATTTTTTTTTTGGCTGCTGTTTTACGACAGTGTATGACGTCTCTGGAGGTACAGGAGACCGTAACTGTGTTGTGTTGAATGACATTCATATCGACATTATGGACTACATTGTACCGGCTACTTGTACTGATTCAGAGTTCAGGCAAATGTGGGCTGAGTTTGAGTGGGAAAACAAGGTGAATATTCCTGTCGGTATATTTGTTTACGTAACCGGTATTCGGTCCGTCATTTTTTAAAAACGATTCCTAATTTGCTTTTACTATATCAGAGTTGCCATGTACAGTGTCAGATATTTGCATCTTATTTCGCAGTGATTACATTTAGCGCTCATCCTTATTTTACCCATGCTTTGTTAATACTCTACTAGGAAAAATAACGCAACACAGTTGTGCAGTTGTTTCAATATAATAGAGAGATTTAGAGTCACGCTTACGGCAAAACGCAAACGTGAATTTGTACCACGCAACCAACTTTTCCCTTGACTTGTCTTCTACTGTATGTTTCTTCAACGGATAAATTTAGTAGTTCTGTTCTTATCTGCTCTTTTCTATTTTGAGAAATTCACAACTTGAATCTGCCGTTTGCCGTTGGCGTCACTATAAATCGCTAATAATGCAGGGAACCTGTAATGTTTTACGTGGCAACTATTTGATGGGCTTAATTTTATTTTTTTTATCTAGGTGACTGTAAACACAAACATCACCGATCTTCGCGAATACTTGGATCATTTAATTGCTTCTACAAATATGAAATGTCTGACACCAGAAAAGGTTCGTAATCGTCTTGTTATCTGCATCGTCAGAGGTATAGTCAAGAGATGAAAACAACAACATGTAACGATTAATTAGTCTGTATCAACTATCTCGGAAGTGTCTTGGTGTTGCCGATGGTGCGATTACTATAACTGACTTATACACAAAACTGAAAATAATGAAAAACACTCACCAACAATAACTGTAGCCTCTGCAACACTATCAAAAACCAATTATTTCATACTAGATACCAGATTATTCCCATACCGTACATTACTGCATATTTAGCAATTATTGGATGATGCTGAGCATAATCTGAAGAATTATGGAGATCGAGGAGGGTAACACCCTCCAAGATCTCCATAATTCTTCAGGTAATACGAAAGCCAAATTCAATAATTGTTTTATTATGCATTCAAAATATCTTCAATTGCCTGTTTATAACAAGGGTCTTTTTTGCATGAGCATGCGCGACCGCTGACTTGTCAAAGAGCACGCGACCAGTGACAGCGACCGTGCTGCATAGTCATAGGAACCAAATTGTTCGCTTTGAAAGCTTGCTTAAGATTGAAATGGTAGCAGGAACTTAGGAAAGACCTTCGTTGTACAAAATAAGTAAAGATCTGTTGATTTAAAGTGGAGACTGATGCGCTGAACGAGGTGAAAGAGTAAGTTTCTCTAGGATGTCTGACACGAACATGGCTGCTTGTTGTTGTTTGGCGCTCGACTCGTGTCTTGATTCCCCTTAAAGAACCGCAAAGTTTGGCATAGAATGCATTGCTGATGCGTAGCTATTGAGCAAAATGTTCTTTATTTAGTGTTTGTCTATAAATCGGATGTAAATCAGTTTCTCGATGCCGTAGAGGATTTCTGTCAATAATTTGTTAATAGCTGATTTAGCCATATTTCGGGAGTTGATTAATAACGATCAGCGGGCGACTACCACGCCGTTTTCAGTTGGAATAGAAAGTTTTTGCCTTCAGTATTGTTTTTGCGTGGACTAACATTGTAACGCATCTTTTACAGGAATTTGCTTTTAGCCAGAACTTTTGGTCGGCATCACATGTTTACGGTACTTCTTGGGAAACCTAACCGTTTGTTTCATCAAAATCGGTCACAAGATTGGACTTTAATTTCGGTCCTATTGAATGCAGTTTTGACTGTGTCTCATTGATATTCATTTTTTTTATTGTTCGAGACATACAGAGTGACTACCACCAACATCTCACCAGGTGACTAATCTACGTCTCGTGTGCTCTTAATTTTGTAGCTTTAAAGTGCTGGGAAAATTGTAGAACATATATTAATTCACTGCTGAACTGAACTTCAGCTTTCGCGCACTTCGAAGCCACTTGCTGAAATTTGCTATGTTTTTTTTTTTCTGATATTTCTCTTCCTTTCCCATTTCAAAACAAAGAAAATTGAAAGTGTTTACTTGCATCAACAAACGTTTCTGCACTTTGTTTAGACTTTGATGAGGTTAGCGCAATCCTCCAGGCACTACATATACGCGCGCTGTTGTCCAGGTCAAGTGGGGAGATGAAATTTGATAGTAGCTCGTGTATGTTAAAGCCGGTCTACTTCGCTTTTGTTA